CTCAAATTCTTAGTGAGACTGTGTCAAAATGCGAATTTCACCAAAAAAAATTGTGCACAATGTGAAAAATTAATATTTTTCCTTTAAATGAATGTAACAGACTTTTCTGTAATTAAATGTAAAGTAAATGCTATGTGCTTTCAGGGGATATGGTGACTATTTTTCATATCAGTGACTTTGTCACAGAATGGTTTCTTTCTGAAATCCCTACTCTGTGAGAACTTCCCACCAAAGAAATGAAAGTACAGCAGTGGACAATCATGACCCACGTCATAAACATTTAATCACCCCATTTTCACAGGAAAAGCTCCCCTAACAGGCTGCAATAAATTGTTTTTGTACATGGTGACTTATAAATATGTTAAAGCCAATGTACATTGGGGAAAAAAGAATCTGTTTTGAGACTAATCATATTACAAACATTTGTGAGACATTGCTTAAATCTTTGTGATTTCTTCAGGAAGTTGTTTGAGAGACTTGACTGTATTTTTCTTTTTCTATCTGTTAAATTATCTGTAACTGTCTGTAGTCATGAATCTCTTGTATGATTTTGAATGGGAAGAATTTTCAGGGATTGTGCTGAGCTGTATCATCTGTCTCATATTTGTGCAGGTTAATCCAGAATCCTCTTTTCAGGGCTGGATCTCCACCCATGGGCTGGATGAGGGAAATGGAATAGGTTTTGGCTGGTCCCTTGCTTTTCTTATTTTATAGAGAGTAGGAAATCAAACAACATTACAAGCTCTCTCTTGCCACCAATATACTGACCTTGACCACTGACCTTGACCACAACTAATCCAACATCTAATTTGATGTACTATAGAAACCAGACAAATAAACCTCTTTTATATTAAAGTCTTTGTGTCTTTTCTTTTTTTGATGGAAACTGCAAATTCTGAGGTTTGCTTTTTGACAAGTCTGATTCCTTTAATTCAGAAAGATGTTCTTTGTGTTTTTCATATCTATCTGTGTCCACGCTTCTATTTGGAGTGGATTTCTTAAAACTCACATGTTTCCTTAAAAATAAACTTTGAGCATGGACAGTAGTGAACTCATTCCATTTATAGACTCTGGAGGTTTGTGTTTGTTCTGGAAGATTTAATATTTGGCTGTTGAGTATTAGTAAGAGTGCAGTGGCTGTGTGGTGCCATCTAATCCAGGTCTGTGTTTCTCTCCCAGTGGCTGCATTACAGACTCTGCAATCTGCATAAATCCCACCTTCTTATGTCACTGTTCTTTTGGTAAGTGAAACCTTGAGCAGCCTTTGCATCTGAAGACCTTGTTGGCTTTCTTTTTTTTCCTTCTTTTCCATATGCTTGCCAGAGCTTTTTGTATTCCAGCATCTGCCTTCTGATCACACACTGTTTGTGCTTCAAATAGGGAGCTGACCTTATTCAAGGTTGCAGACAATACCTGGCATATGGTAGCTACATCACGGTTTGTTACCACCCTCAGCTCTGCTAAAGCACCCAGAAATCTTTTGGGTATTGACCAACACAGGTGAAGTGGTGTCAGGAAGATTACTTTTCTATCTAGGGATGTGTCAGCTGTTAGATTTGCTTGACCACTCTGTTTTCTGACTTATATGAATGTGGTAATGGCACAAATTAAAAGGAAAGAAATCTTTAGGAGAGATGAGTTTTGAAGACCGGATAGCTCTTCTCTTGATTATGTAGGTCGGTCCTTTTGTAGATGCAGTATGAGATGGAGCTTCAGTAAAAATGTACCTTCTTTTATCCCTAAACAGCACATGATAAAACCGTGACATCTCACCTTTTTTTCTTTTTATGGACTTGAAGCATTTGCAGGGCTTCAAATCTGCATTGAGGATATTTTATCTATTTTATCTTTCAGATGTTGTTATCTCATCAGATATATGATGTAATGCAGAGCTGGCTTTGACTAGGTTTTCTTGAGGTTGGGATTTTTTGACGATGTTTTCTTGATAGGAACTAAATCTGGGTTCAGCAAAAAGTTTGTTGGATTTTCAATATCAATACCATTAGAAGGAATTAGGTCAGAATAATGTGTAATGGGAGAGGAGTAGGGACAGGAACTATAAGAAAAAGAATCCAAAGATAGGAGAGTGTAGTTTGGAAGCCAAAGCATGAAACAATGTGTGAAGGGGAAATTTTATTTTATCTTTTATAAGAGAAAATTAATAATGTGGTGGTGTTATAGGAAAGAAATAATCTTTATATAAAAATCCTGATATGAAAGGTGCTGGAAGAAGCCACTTGTAGCAAATTGCAGATTTTTATTGGTCTAAATAGCCCAGAGGTTGTACTATCTCCTGCAAACTTGAGCTTTTGTGACTTCATTAATTATCAGTGAAAGAGGTGCAGGGGATCCCTGAGTGAACATGCAACAAATAACAATTTGTACTGAGTATCAAGTTCTCTGTTGGTTGAAACCACAAGTCTGAGTTGTCTGTGCAACCCTTTTCACACTTTCTGTTTCTATTGCATACAGCAGCAGCTCTTGCAACAGCAGAACTAAGTGGGTCGTGAAAAATTCAGCTTTGGATTTAATTATTTGTTTTTAATGCCAACTTTTGGTTGCTGTATTTCTTTCTGTGAATCACGAGTTAGTTTTATGTGTGCTCACTTTTTGGGACAATGAAACCCAAGTTATAGGTGTGGGCAAATAACTTTAGGCGCCTTAAAATTTTCACCATGGAAAAATGAAACCACTGTAGTGATTATTAGGGACTACAGGCACACCAATTCTATATTAATACACCAATATAATTATTTTGTCCTGCTCCTTTCTTTGTGAGCAACTAGTAGGTGGTAAGTAATCTCTTTTTAAGCTATTTTCCCCTCAATATGTCAGAGGAATTATTTGAAATAATTATGAAAGAGACATAGAATATAAATGCCAGAATAGATGTAGATGGGAAAATATTACTACAGAGGGGTTTTGTAATATGTTGGAAATGTCATTTATGGTTCTGTTTTAATGAATGGGTAATTAGTTGGCTGAACATCGGCTCACTTCTTAATGAAATCTTAGTGGATTAACTCTATGCCTCATTCATATTATCCTACAGAATTTTTCTGCCTTTTTTATAACGAATAATCTTTTCGTAGTATGCCAGTATGAAAAAGGAGAATGTAGAAAATTTGTACTTTTGTGCTGTTAAGTAAATTTGGAGTCCTTTTTAAAAATGCTTAAAATACATATGGTGGTGCTGTTACTATACTTCTTTCTGCAGAAACAACCTACTTGGATATTAATTCTTCCACCTGCGTTTTCTGGTTTTGTTTAATTATATTTTTATATTTGTTATCATATCATTGGGTTTTATTCTCCCTTTATTTGCCTATTGACATCATTTAAGAGTTTTCACCTTCAGATATCCAGGTTCCTTTGCTGAAGGATCCCTCCTGTCCCACATAGCTGTGCTTGCAGGAGGTTTCTCTCTGGATCCAAGCAGGACAAGAACAGACCATTCTGCTTCTTGCATTTCTCAGCCCTATGGATTGAATCCAGAAAACTGTGCTTTTGCTGTTGCGCACAGTTTGGACAAAACTGTTGGTTTATGGTTGTCAGACCTCTTAAACCTGTCTCTTATCTGTGCTATCAGCTGGACAATCCTGACAAATTGCATTCCTGAGCTTTCAGGTTTGGTTAGGAGGCTGAATTTGGAGTTTATGGCTGGTATAGTGCAATTATACCTTAAATTTTTCCAGGTTCAGAGTAGGAAGTATGTAAACTTACATAAAATCAAATACTTCAGATTGTCTCTAAATTTAAATGTTGATTTCAAAGTCTTTGTATTTTGAATCCTATAAAACTTTAAAACTCAAACACAGATGTTGAATGTTGAGCCTCCCTAAAAGTACACAAAGAAAAATCAATTCAGCTCTTTGCTCTTCCTTATACATGAACCTGTTCCTGTATAAAATATGTTTATTTTCACAAAAGCTTTTAACATGTAAACTCTTATTTTTGCCTTTGTTAGTGTGCATGACATTTTTATTATATACATACACTTTACACTTAAGTGTTTCCAAAATGTTTTTCTGGTTATCTAGAAGTTTACCAAGACTTAAAAACAAACAAACAAACAAACAAACAAACAAACAAACAAACAACCAACCAACCCCACCCCCATTTAATATTCAATTAAAAATATAAACATATATCTGTTAGTTTTACTTAAAAAAATACTTTTAATTTTCTGAATCAACACCAGATACTGCTGCTGGTTACATTATAACTTTCTGTAGCTTTATGTGCTTAGAAAAAACAAGGTTTCAGCTAAAATAACTTGGATTTGTAATTTGTTTTCATTTTCTTTTATTTACTGTCTAGCAAAGTGCTATTTGCACTGAAATTTGACATCTCAGCTGAACCATTATATTCAGCTGTAATTAGAATAAACTATCTGCATGAATTACTGTACATTGGGTTTAGAGATTTGTTTGGAGACAACCATTTCTTACCAAAGCACAGACAGCAATTTGCTGTCTAACTTTGTACATTTGCAAAATACATTTAGTGTAAAATTAATTAGGTCATTAGAAACCTATTATCTTGTCTCAAAGAAACTGATTTTAAAAGTAAGCATGTTTTCTGTGAAAGGTGACAACTTTGCGTTCAAATCTAGTTGTGATTCATTCTTCAGGTTTTGTTCTTGCTTTTCTTCATCAAAACAGAGAGGCATAAAAGCAGGTTAGAAGTAGCTCTCAGTATTGTGGTAACACTGAAAAAAAAAATAACTCTTTAAAGGCCACCTTTAGTGTTTGATGACATTCATTGAGTAGTGTCCAATCCTGGAAAAATAGCATTTTCCCTCCATTTTAAGAGTTGTCCAAATACACAGCGGAATTTTAGTTAGTTCTGCAGTGTTCAGAACAAGTGCAGAAGTCAGGCTAATAGGGAAAGGTGTGTCTGTGAACTACACAAGAAAGGGTTTTTTTTAAAATTAAACTGAATACTCCTGGTGACACCTGAATTGCAGCTCTAACCTGAAGCTTTTCTTGTCTCTACAGTCGTGTTTCCATTCTGAAGAGATCGACCCTTGGTGAGTGTCACAGATTAAATCAGTTTATGATTTCCAATACATGTTTCAGCATTATCTGTAGTACATGATCTGTAATGAAATTTTCAAGAAGAGAAAGAAAATCTGGGGAGTTCCAGTGGCCTGTTCTCAGCTACATTTTGTCTCATATACTGTGTTTGTACTCTTTCCATACTGCTGAATTGCCTAGAGACAAATTGGACAGTTTATGCCTTACACCAAGATTGACATTTTTATGGTGCCCAGAAGACAGAGTTTTAAAATTCTACTGTTTGAAAAATTGTCCTGATATTGGAGGGGAACAATCCATGGTTCTGTGAAAGGGAAGGTCATAGTATGCAACTGAGGAAGAAATAGTTTACCTGTTCAAAAAGTGGTTGAACTGAGGTCTTCTGAGCTGCTTAAGAAATCTGGTCTCCTTGGTTCCATCTGATAGAAAAAAATGCTCTTACATTCATTAAAGCTTGGACTAACAATAACTCTCTGAGTGTATGCTGAGTTTCAAACCATTTCAGAATACAATCCCTTTTTTTTTCTTGAGTAATTGTAAAGGATGGCTGTTTGTTTTACTTCTGTAGCCATCTCTTAGCTTTCCTCACTCTTCCTACCTCCAAATTATGACCTGACTTTTAAAAATTTATAATTCCAATCCTGAATATTTTGAAGCTCCTGCTGACCAGTAATGATGAAGGAGAAATGACTCCTGTCTTGTGGTAAACTCTCTGATGGAAGCATCTTACAGCTCTGTCAATCCAGAGAAGGCAGGGGACTATTTCCTAATCCTTGCTTTCAGGCCCAGGCGATGTTTCTGTCCCCATGATACCTTCTGTCTCCTGCAGCTTGTTCTTGCAGTCACCACTAAATCTTTTGCTGACTGATTCCTTCCAATAGATCCCTTCACCCTGTCCCAGTGGTTTCTTTAGTATCTCCCTCATTCTGTCCATTTCCAAAACAGATTATCTGTAAAGAAGTTGTCCATAATGAACCAGTCCTCCATGCAGGTTTTTCCTTTTCATGCTCTGCAATGCTTTCTCTCCACCCCTCGAAGCAGGGAACTCAGTGTAGACTCTTTTCCTCCCCAGACATGCTGTAGGCAATTTAACCAATTTCACTTCTCAACCAGATTTTTTTTTCAGTACATTTCTCTGTGCTTTCTTTAAAGCCACCTGCCTAGTTTTCCCTCTCTTTTGGAAACTACCCTGCTGGGAGTCTGAATGCTGCTGATCATACAGGCAGGATTCAATTCAGAAAAACACAGCAAACACAATTTACCTTTCAGCTTCCATTCCTTGTGTTGTGTCAGGGTTTTGTTTTTGCTTTCAGTGAATGCACAACCTTACCACAAATATTGTTTTGGCTGTCTTTAAAACAAGGAAAATTTTCATATTTTATATTCTAAATGTTTAGCACCAACCCCTAATAGACAAGTCCAGTAGCACTCTCAGCTTGGCAAAGAATTATTTTACAGACTACAGTATGTCAAGAAACTGTATAGGATAAAGGAGAAAAATAGCCATACCTCATCTACTACCTCTGTTCTGAGTCAACAAACTAGAGGAAGAAGCAAAAACTATCAGGCTTTAGTAAGAACTGTCCCGAAGGAGCTGCTTCAAGCCCCGGTCCACTGAATGTGGAATTCCATGGAGTTACAAGCACAAGGCAACTTCCTTTTCAAGTAAAGGAAGGTTTTTTAGAGCAATCTGGAGAGAGTTGAATTAACACATCTTAGTCCTTAGATATTTATTAAAGGTATCTTAATAGGCACCTGTATTTTAATACTCTTTTTCTGAGACACTCTGTCTTCAAATACTGAAACACTGAACTCCACTACAAGTACAAATGCTTCATAGTTGGAAAGTGCATAATATTGATATAATCAAAACTTGGGCCCCTTCTAAGCTTTCTCAGGGTAAGACACAGCAGACTGACAGTGACTTCACAGTTTTGCAGTGTAAGTTTTTTTGACATAATATTCATCTGATACGTTACAAGCTAAAATATCATTTCTGCAGAATAGTCAGAATACAGTTAATTAGCAAAGCGCTGACCAGGCATAAACCCAGATCCCTCTAAAATGGGAAGATGACAGTAAGCTGATCCTGCAAGTTTGCTATGTTTTTAATTGTCTGCTTGTGGCAAGCTTGCCCAATATTGATGTGTTTGCATGGTGCAGGCACCAGTAGGTATCCCAAAAATGTCCCCCCAAAAACCTGAGGTAAACCTGACTTCAGTTGTGCAGACAAAATGCTATACATCCTGCATAAGCCACGTTGTTGGCTTATGCAGGGATTTTTCTTGGTTTTTGTGTTTGTGGTTTGTTTTGGTTTGTTTCTGTTGTTTTTGTTTTTTTTTAAGGCATCCTTGGTAAAAGGTCTTAAATACCTGAATTCATTCAGCTAATCTCAGGGAGGCAGAAGACCACTGCAATTTTGCTTTGTCCTTTCAAAAAACCCACAGATTTTGCTGACAGGCTTCTGCTCCCAGCTTGCAGTAATTGGTGGCAAACACAAAGCTAATTCCTTATTACACAGTATTTTCAGGGGGTTAATGGCTAAGCTGCTGAATACAAAATAGTAAGCCAATGAAGTGGCTTCTAGGAGAACAAAGATCAGTAATTCACATTCTCCAATGCTGCATTTCTGGTTTGTGTTTCTTATCTCTGTTCTCCTTTTTGTAGATTCACTTTATGTAAAGTAATGCATAACTAAAAGCTGTCAATAGTAGGTTGAGAAAGAACACAGTGAAGATTTGGTTATGGATATCCAAGTTCTGTGTGTTCATTTGTGTCTGTAGCTGTTAGGAACTCATAGTGTAGAAGAATTTTTAAAAGGGGAGACCTGAGAAAAATGAGTTATTTGCAGCAGTAGAATGGACATTTCACTTAGAGGAGGAGAATGAGAGAAAATTTAACACTTTTATCAAAGTTGTCTAGCTGCAATAAAAGAAAGTCATGATATTTTTCAAATCAGAAATAACCCCTTTTAATTTTATGGTACATCTGAAGCTGGGGATGTGGAATGGAGAGAGCTGCACGTCCAACAGCTGAAGCAGCACCTTTAGCCACTGCACTGCCATCTGTTTATTGTTTTGTTTGTGGGGGTCGATGCAGCTGTGTGAGAGAGGTTGGGTTATTTATGAATAGCAATGCTAACAAATTAATGACATAACAAGCCTGCTGCAAAGGCACTGACCTTTTGAAAGCAAGAGCAGTAGCACAAAAAGGTTGACTTTATTAGAATCTATTAGATGTTTTCACAGCCAGTCCCAAGGGTGGAATTTCAGATAAGCGAGAACTGCAGAGCACCTGATGAGTCATTAGGAAGGTAAACCCCATTTCATGAGAAAAACTGTATATCTGATAGCAAGATCACATGCATGAACAGTATCTTCACTGTTCTAAATGCTTTATGTTAATTTGAGCAAAATGTTGGAGGTTTTGGTTTGGGTTTTGGGGGTTTTTTTGTTGGTTTTCTTTGTTTGTTTTTTTTTTGTGCAATAAATATTTCCAAATAGTGGATAAAATTAGGGTGAGTTGCCATTTTTAAATCAGTGTACTGTCCCAGAATGATTTTGGAGAGCTTCCCAACTGACTTCTCTACAGGTTGCTGTTGTCAGCTGCCAGACCTAGGGCTACTTTTGTCACTTTTATCCTTCTGTCTTTTTTTTAACCAGTATAATCCACAGATTCAATGTGGTGGGTAGGGTTTTTTTTGGTTGTTGGGGTTTTTTGTTTGTTTGTTGGGGGGGGTTGAGTTTTTGTTTGTTTCATTTGTTTGTTTGTTTGTTTTTATGAGCATTTTCTCTTAGTGTATTTGCTGAGTAGAAAAGGGATGAAGGTGTATGAGAGCTCATGAGGCTATTTAATATGATCCTTAAATACTTGGTTTTGAAGTTTCTAAGTCAATTTGACTTAAAATAACTGCTCATACTATTTTCTGTTGGAAAATACCATATTTTAGGTCAATAAAAAGCTCACTGTGATGTACATTTTTCCTGACATTCTACTGAATCATTTGTCATGTATCCTGTTATGGATGTGTGATTAGTACTTGTAAGAACAGTTTTGTGTGTCACATTTCAATAGTCCTTTTCTCCTCCAGTCCTGTTTCTGATGAAGTCTGTGAGAATACAGACTTGGATTTTGAACTTCACTACCATCATTATCTTGAATTTCCATATGGAAATTGCTTTTCAGAACTCCAGCTGAGCCTTTGGGATGCCCCTTCTAGTTCTGTGTGCATTTTCAAGTGAAGTGAAAGCCTGCTTTTTGTTTCAACAATTATTTTTGGGTAGCTGAAATGGAGAAAAGATGATGTAGATATATCTATATCTATCTATATCTATATCTATATATTTTAGAAAAAATAAACTTGACAATGAAGGAAGTGAAAGAATATGATTTGTGGCTCGTCCAAAAAGATGATTTAACCCTTAAAAGTGTCATGCCTATTGAGCAAATAAATGTCTGCTTTTTTTCTCACTGAATCAGTTAATGGAAACAATTAGGATACCTATTTTGTGTGATGATCATGGATGAGAAGATTCCCAATATTGGACCCAAAAAAGAAAAAAAAGCCTGCATTTTGTTTACCTTCCTGAGATGATCAGTGCTTTCAGAATGCAAGGGTCACTTTCAAACCTCTTATGAATATTAATGGACTTAAAATGTCTTAGAAATATTTAGGGCAACTAAAATTCCACAAGGATCAGTTTATTCAGTATTTCCCGACTCCATAGGATAATTACGTTGATTCTTTACTAAACAATAAGTCAGTGTGCTTAAATTCAGTCAAATTAAGTTAGTTGAAAAGTTTATCTGCTTATATGTGTAATTCTTTCATGGAAGTTTAAGGCAATTTCAGAGGGATGGCTTGTTAAGCCATAGTGGAGTAGAAAACACTTTGTGGGAATTGTATTGTTGGTTATTCATTTAATTTTTCAAAATATCACAGATGCTTTTCCTTAAAATCTAACACATCTAAAGCTTAACAGTGTTTGCTAAATATTTTACAATCTGGGTAAGGAAAGTTTACAGGATGGTGAACAAAACCACTAACATTCCTTACACATGCAATCAGCAAGACTTGCAAGATAAAGGGGTAAAAAAAAAAAGCACGAGAGACCCTTGAGCTCAGTTTTCATGAGGAAGGAAGCCCACGAATTGCCTGGGCCATGTGGGGGTAAATGAGGCAGAGCTGCTTCGCTTTGGGATTTTTATTTCAGAGATGGGGCTTGTAGTAAAAGACTACTTGTATTCAGGGGTTTTTAAGTCATTTGAGGATAAAAAGTAAAAAAAAAATTGTGTAAGAAGAGTTCCCGGTGAAATGTGAGAAAAGGTGAAATCTCACAGAAAATGTGAAAATAAACCTGTGAGAGGTGAAAGACTGAAATGAGCCTGGAATGTTTTTTTTCTTTATTCATCCTGGTGTTCTCCTCCAAAAGAATGGAAAGATTGACTCTAAAGTCACAGTAAATGTGACTGATCTGATGTTGTATCAACAGCACAATGGTGCATAATCCACAGATTGGGTGGTTCAGGATAACCAGACAAAACACATATTACTTGTCACAGGAGAAACCTTTAGGCTTAAAGAAATGGTAAATATTGTTTCAAGTGAAACACAGTTCAGGCAAAGATCAGGGTTATAAACTCCCATTTGAGGAATGCTGCTCTTATTGTGTATTATTGTCAAGAAAAGAATGACTTCAACAGAGACAAGACAGCTTGATTTAACTTCATATAAACTTCTTAGTGTATTGCATTCATTAATCTTGGATGTTATCTCTAAAAATAGCACTTGAAAGTGCCTATCAATTAGATTTTATGACATGAAAATGTCATTTCTGAAAGAATCGGATATTATACGAGATATGACAGTGCCCAGAACCAAATTGGGAGCAAAACATTTCTATCTTTCCCTCAGGCATGGGCTGAACTCTTACTTTGGATATAGGTTAAGTTATATAGACTTAATAGCTGGTTCATTTTGTTTGGTTTGGTGTTGGTTCGTTTGGTTTTTCTTTTGACTGATTTCAAGGTCATTAAAATACCATTCAAAATTGTATCCAATTTCAATTGCTTGTTTTTGTACAACAGATTAAATTCGGGAATGAGAGAGATTGTAAATCAAGCAGAATTATCGTAACTGTGTGTAATTTATAATGTAGTAGAAAAGATAGGAAAGATATTCTGAAAAGCAGTTTCTTGTGGGCATATGGTAAATTAACATTAAAAAAAAAAACTAAGCACATGTTTGTGTTAAAATGTATAAAGGATGGTTAAGTCATAATAAAAAGATATCATTGTAATAATATTGCAACTGTAATAAGGATATCAAATGCTGTACACTCAGTGAAAGCAAAATGTGGTGAAAGTCATCTAGATTGGATCCTTTATACAGTACAAATGTTTTCAATCATTAATGGCTTCCTGTTATTGTATTGAGTCCCAGCTCAGTGTACATGGAACTGAGGGTCGTTGAAGGTACACAGAACTGAAGCCAAAAACTTCTGTCCTTGAGTTTTACTGGCATTTTGATTTAACTGCAAAAGAGTTCTAAAGTTGCTGATATTACCTGAGGTCTGTGAATTTGCTTCTGTTCGCTTACACTCTTGCATTTGGTGTTCAAGTGTATTTTAGGCTGGAATTCAGCACACAGAAGACCACAGCTGTGAGCAGTCCAGCAGGTTGGAGCTGGCTCTGCTGAGAGATTAATGCAAATAAATGCACTGGTTCTCCCTGGTCAACCTTTTTACAGTTCATCTGTTTGCACTGAATACAATGGTTAAAAAAATAGTTAGTAAAAATTACTTTATAATGTTGAAGTTAAAGTTGTTTTTTTTTTTTCAGCAGGATGATTGATGTCTTTTTCTTGTCTATGCTATAATTTTTACCATACTGGGTCATCTCAGCTGTTCTCAACTTCCTCTTAAATTGAGGGATTTTATGTTTCTTTTTCTTAAAGATAAGTAAATAAAACTAGAAATCCATTCAGTGAAGTTTTAGAATCGAATACTTTTCATTCTGTGTTCTCTGCTTGCACACATGCTGGAGGAGGAGGATTCTTTTGGCAAGTGAGGGAAAAAAGAACTGAATTTGCAGCAGTCTCTCGGTGCTCCCAGTGCATCAGATGATGAGCTACTTGCAAAGTCTTGCTGAAAGTGAACCTGCAGGTGCATCTCCTCACTCAAACTCTAATTTTGTGATTTTGTTGGAGTCCAACAGCACTTGGGAAATGGCATTGCCATTGCAGTACAACAGGGTGTTGTGCTGTTCAGGGCAGGATTTGGTTCAGTATTCCCTGTGATCAGATTTAAAGCTGCAAAAGCTTGAAGAAAAGCTGCCTGGCCAGCACTTGCTCACTGAGGATTTTTCTTTTAAAGCTTTTGTAGCTACTGAGAGTTAAATGGGGGTCAGTGGAGAATTTAAAGTTGAGAATTAATTAGAGTAGGGTGAAGCAGTAAAACACTTGGTGGAGGAAATCATTGAGGACATCAGTGAAGGGCAGAGAAGTCAAATATTAAAAAGAGGTAAGTTACTGTAGAAAATATACTAAGATGACACTATGAGAGTCCCATCTAGTCATTCTTAGCATGAAATAATATGTTAGAATTACATGTGTCAAGTACATAAGATTATGATCACTCACTACTTGAAAATAGTGGCAGAAATATCTGTGTGATCTGGTAATACACACTTAATAACTGAATTGGAGAGAACTTATTTTGCTAATAAGTCAACACATTCTTTAGAAACTAAAAGGAAAGAGAAAGCCTTTAAAAATTTTACTTGAATATGTTACAGAATAACACAGCTAATATTGTGCCTTACTATTAATTAATAACCCCATATTTGGTTATCAGGTGGAATCTTGGCACCACTGATATCGATGGTAAAAATTCTGTTGTCATATTGGGAAAATAATTTTATTGGGAGAATAATTCCTACTTTTAATCAGTTTTTTGCCAGATATATGGTGCCTTTACCAGTGCCTTTGCACATTCTTTTTTTTTTAATCTTGAATTAATCTATCACACTAGAACATGTTGTGAATGTCAAAGGATACTGTATATCAGCATACATAGTGATACAGAAGGAATTAGCATATTCTCATGAAAGATAATAATGTAGTGTTAGGAAATCAGTCCTAGACATGTCAATGATGAGTGACAGGAACTCACATTGCACTGGATAGGCAGATGTTATGAATAATAGTTTGCTTAGTGAGTGTAGACGTTTCTGTGTCTCAGCTGGGCCTGCAGGTTTCAAAGGAAGGTCTTAAATGCTTATTTTTCTTTCTATTGCATCTTGATTAGTTTGATGCAAACTGAAGATTGGAGGGAGATGATATGGACTGTGCTAAAGGAACTGCAGATAATCAGTAAATGTAGTCTTTCAGCAATTCCTCTCCGCAGTCATCCTTTAAGCCAATATAGCTGTGGCTGGATTTGTGGAATGTTTTAAAGTCCATCTGCACTCCCACCTGAGCCCAAGCTGAATGCACTTACTTAATCTCATGTAGACTTGATTTATATGGTGGTAGGTGACGAAAGAGTGAACTGGGAAAGAATTTAATTCTAGTCCATGGCATGTTGCCATTAGCAAAATAAAAACAAAAAACCAAACAACAAAAAAACCCTCAAAATGTGGTATCCTGTTGTGACTTTATTTCCCTTCACCATAGGACAGCTTTCTGGATTCCTCTCCCTTCTTTCTTGTGAAATGGAAGACACTATCACAAGACAACCTCTAATGGAGTCTCTGCTGAATCCTGCCATCAAGAGGACACTGATTTCTGACTTCCAAAGCACTCTCTTGGAGACTTTCTTGCATTAAATAATATTTTGAGGAAAACTAGCTTTTGAATGTCACAGTGTTGCTTATTAGTGGTTGATAGGTGTCAGTGTGCTAATAGACACCTAGACTTCAAAAAAAAAATCGATAAATCTCAGCAGCAAAGAGAAAGTTTTGCTGTTTGCACTATTCTGGCTGCAGCACAGTGGATCTGAGGAACCCAGGGGTGGGAGAGAGAAATGATGCTTTCAATAAGGAATACTGGTGGGAGAAAAGGGAGGGACATGAATAGTGTCTGCAAAGAAAATGTAACAAGAAGAGAGCTTTTAGCTCAGCCAGGATCACACAGAACATGGAAAGGATGCAAAGGCAGACCACAGAACTGATGAAAGCAAGAATTCTTTCAGTTCTTCTAAGTGAACTGTAAAAGATGTATTGGAACCAGAAAGCCATTGAAAAGTCATTTCATTGACATCCCAAAGGAGAAGACCCATCTCTAACAGGTGTGGTAAGCACTTAACCCATTTTATTTTTGTATTTTTTTTCTATCATATGCTTCGTTTTCTTTCATTGACAGCAGTCACTGTTCTCACACCTGCTCTGATGTAACAACAACATGTACAATAAAACCTTACTAGGGAGTTTATAAAACTTTTTTGGTAAACTTGTATGCTTGATGTTAGCAAAAAGTGAAAGTAGTACCATTATTTCTTTATTACTTCAATCAAGTAAAATATTAATTAATGTTTTGAATATGACAAATAATGGTGCTTGTTCTTTCTTCCGCCCTCAAAATTAAAGATGCATTGCATCAGTGATAATCTTGATAAAAAATAATCTCTTTTTATGAAAGTCTTTTGCTGTTTAAGCAGAGGAATGTATTCAGAGTGAATAAAAGCTTTAAATCTGTTTTGAATGTTTTCGCTTTTTTACGACCCAACATTACAAAGCCAGTAGACAAAGTAATAAACTGTGTGTTTCAAGTATTCTACACTCTCTTCTGATTATCCAAGTGTAGCTTTATTTTCCTATTCACTTGTTGTCAAGGAATTCAGAGTCATTAACAACTGATGTCTGAAGGTGCCGTCAGCCCAGTGACTTGATGGTGTCAATAAAATTTGTACAAGGCTCCACTCTCAGAAACTACTGTATTGACTCAGTCTAAATAATGTAATATTACCTGAGACAGTAAACCAAGAACATTTGGGGAATCTTGTTAAAGAACAAGTAAAATGCTAAGAAATTTTATTTTCTAGAGGGAGATAAAAGTCTGGAGATGAACAAAGATTGTGTCTGACCTCTGAGATTTCATGGCAGAGCATTTTATTGACCAGTTCTTTTTAACTGTGGTGGCAGAACCAGGGATATGGTGTTTGTCAAGGCCTTGCCAACTCATGCTGTGTTGTGTTTCTTTGCCTGCAGCTAAGTTTATTGCTCACTCAAAGCCTAAAATAAATAATAAAATAGAGCGAATGTAATCTTGGAAAAAAAAAACAAACCCCCCAAGAAATTGGACTACGCAGTCTACCGAGGCTTTCTGAATAAACATGAATCTAAACACTTGAATTTAAAGAAAATACTATTCCTATTTCTGTAAATGATCCATCTTTCTCACACAAAGAATTAAAAAGTATTAAACTCTCTTATTAAAGAGCTCATACTGTGGGATTCTAATGATCTCTCAATATTTTGTGACCTCAGAAACCTCTTCTTTTCTAAAGAAAGCTGTTGAAACTTAAAACAAGCTCCCTCATGCACATCTGCAAACAAGTCAAAATAAACCTTTGCTTTGATGACTTTTGGTTTAGGACTATCAAAATTTTCCATTTTAGATTAAAATCTTTAGTTCTTTAGATGAAATAACTTTAGGTGAAACTGGATGAACAAGAAAAAGCCAACATCCATGACAGCAACAGTCAGGTTTTCTCATATGAAGGAGAAACTTCTTATCAGCTCCTTGTTTCTGTTTGGCTTCAGATTTAGCAGAACAGTATTGTTAAAATATGCTGTTCATCTCTGCTTCTAGAAGATCAGTAGATAAGACTAATTATAATAAAATTAAAAGATACTGTATTTCTGGGGTAGGGGATGAAACCACTAAGTGTAACCACTCAGGGCATATGACCTGAGCTGTGCCTTTGAATTCCGTTGTCACAAAACCAAACTCAGAAAAAGGAAAAAATCCAGCCTTTTGAGGTATGATTACTTAAGCATTTTGCCAAAAGAAAAGTATAAATATTATAAAACTGAAAATGCAAATTTTGAAGAAATAGAACATCTGGTGCCAATTGCTTATAACTATTTTGCAAATGATGTTTTTCCCAGTGGCATTATATTGTTCTAATTGATTTCCCAATATTTGACAAACATATAAACACACAATGCATGCCAATCATTAAAATTACTCTAATAATAAAAACACCTCAGCATTCGCACTGTTAAGCAGTGAAATTATTTGGCAGGTTGGTTATCAAAGAAATGTCTTGCTGAAACTCATGCAGACATTTCTGGGCTATTCTTGTTGGAACAGATATGCAAGTGAGCAACCTGTGTTTATATTTGTTGTGCCAGTGACACAAGGAAAAGTAGAAGAGGTTCTGGAGTCAAAATGTAAACACCCAGTTAGGAAGTTGGTGCTTTGAAAGTTTTCCAGACAGAAAGATGGAGGTGCAGCATTTGAAGATGTAGCTGAGGAAATGAATATGCTCTGTGGAAAATGAATGAGCTTCTTTAGAAAATGGAGGAATTCTTTAAATAAAGGACTAGGCAGAGGAGGAATAATAAAAATTAAATTGAATTGCTGGACTTAAATACAGAGAGAAAAGCAAGGAAATCTGTATCAGGTGAAGATGCCTTTAGCTTCTGTGACTTAGACCTGTGTGGCCATACCAAGTTTTAAAACTTTATGGTTTTGTTTTACAGGTGCAAAGCAGATTACACCAGCACAGGAAAAGTTTTAGTAATTTATATACATTATCCTACAGCCAGATTATAAGCATTTGAATGTGCTGACCGCAAAGCAAACCCATCAAATATTTAAAGGAAGATGCCAGCAAGAAATGTGGTTTATAGCAGACCTTGAGTGTGAATAAGTTTCCTGGTAAGTGTTTTGATCAGAGTAATGATTTTTACTGTTTAAATAGTTACATTGATGCAATCCCTATGGTGAATATTTAGACTGCAATAAAATAGAAGTAAGTTTATGTAAGTAAGTTAACTCTCCTATGGATATGTAAATATCTTCATACATCTATAATGTTCCAGTCGGTCGTTATGTAGTTAAAGTAATCATGGACAAGGTCACAGGAACAAAGTTTTCTCTAATGGATTGCCTTTTACACTCTTGAGAAGTTCAGCACACAGGAATTCATGGATAAAATAAAGTGCACACCCTTGGAAAAATATTTTCTCCTACATAATGAATAGGGAGTGATGAATTTAGAGTTTGGTCAGCAGAACAATCCTGCTAAATGTTTCCCCCAGTAGATTCTTTTGCTGTTTTGTTGGTTTGTACATTCTCCACTGAATGTTCAGCCTGAGCTGGGTGTATTTGTACAAACCACCTTGCTGATTAAAGGTCAAGTTTTATAGGGCCTGAAAGTAATATCAGGGTTTTTCTTTTACTTTATAATCTTATTTACGATTTCACTGTTGCATTTCTCATTACTGCTGTCATCGCAGTGTTTACAGAAGTGGTCCTGATATTTTTGCAGTAGAACTTAATACTACAGTGAATGTTGGTTTGCAAGGTAGATAAGGTTCCAGTGAATCCATTCTTAAGGCGTTGTGAGACTCCAGATAACACCAACAAAAATAGGCTTGGGAAAATTTAACAATAACATGCAATTTATATGATGCTGGTGTAACTGCAGGTTATTTCTGCTAAGGATAGTAATGGCAACAGAAACTTACTGTAGTGGCAAAAAGTACAGTAGATTTCCATCCTATGTAAATGGGTTGTCTCTGTAAATGAGATACGTGAGTAAATATCAAGTCTGCACAAAGAACCCTGTGTATGTGTGATCTGTGTGTTTATGCATGTCCACCAAGGACAAGCAGAAATAGAAACTGGATTTTGAGTTCATACTTTCCTTTCCTCAATTTTCCCTAATACTCTGATGACAAAGTGCCATCTCTGCATGTTCAACAGTAATAGAAGCAAAAATCAATGGATTTCTTGTGAGTTTGCAAATCTTCATAGTGCCATGTAAATATCTGAGTTTGCTGAAAGACAAAGAAGGGTCTTTTACTTTTTGAAATATTTTGGTGCATGTCCAAACTGTTTGGTGTTAATGTCTTGGTGGATCTATTCTTGTAAGTATTTGCTGAAAATTGGAATGTACCTATTATATAAAAAGAGTGTTGCCCTGTCTGCTGCACCACTGTTCAGGTGGGTGGCAGTTTTTAAAGAGACCAAAACTTTATATTGCACATATATTATATATTTACTGCATATATACAGCACTTTATATTTATATTACACATGGTTTGGAAAATGACAGTGGCACACTTAAAATTGAATACATGTGCTAGCCTTTATCAAATTCTCATTAATATTGCAGCCCTGACTTCTGCACTCAGTAAGAAACATTAGCTTGGCAAGGACAAAAATCATTGACATAAAATTCAATGAATGCACAAAAAAAGGTCTCTGTTGCCAAAAAGTTAAATTTAAAGAAAAAAAATATTCTGAGGTTTTTGACTTTTAAAACTTTTTTTTAATATAGGCATTTTAATATTTTAAAATAGACTTATGAGTTTTCATAACTGTGACTTAACTTCCCTTGCAGGTCATCCCAAAGGTGTTGATACAAAGGCTGTTTTCCAGTTGTGGCTTGTCCTGTTACACTCAATTTTAACAACCTGACATTACACTCAATTTTAACAACCCAAGACCCCTCTTGTCTTCAGGGTATGTGTCCACTCTTACTTTATTGTTGGCAGTTGAATATTTGCTTCTAATAAGTTCAGGAAGAATTTTCCGCTCCAATTTGTTTCTCTTTTGCAGTTTTAGGGATTTAATTCTACAGTTTAGTACAAATTCAAATATGGTATCAAAGAGCTGAAATACAAGAACTTAAACTCTTAGACTGGCCAGCTTGTCGCCTTTTTTAAGTGAGAAGTGAAGAAATTCTGGTTCCACTGAAGAGGAAAAAATATTTTAGCTGTAAGACTAAGCA